AAGTTTGATATGAACGTAAGCCCGATTTATTGCAATCAACGGAATTCTTCCGTCAAGACATAAACGAAGAGCGAGATGACTGATCATTTCGAGGCAAGACGATGATTGAATTCAATCGCAGCTTAGAACAGCTGCACACAACCAATATGGAGGATAGCTTGTGTGGATTGACCGCAATTTTCTCAGGCTACCAGTTAGAAGATGATGACTCGATTCGAACTGCAGCTGATGTCACTTGATATGAAGCCGTTATTGAAAGCAAAACAAAGGGGAGCCCGTATTCATTCGACGAACAAATAGAAATCGTGTCGCCCGTTCATTCAGTGTTAGGTTAAGCTCACTGATGGTCAAGGAGCAAGCGGAGAAAGCTGATCTAGCAGTCTAATTTTCCATGGAATTTCATGTCAAAAGAAGTAAATATTCATCCCGTCTTATAAGTTATATATATATATATATATATATAATAGAGGTAAATGAATTACACCAGAACAGTCAGGGTTAAAGGTCACCCACACCAGCGCCATCTATTGGCACGTGCTGGAGGTCGAACATCAAGTTAACGTGAGCATGATATTCAAAAGGGATCATAATAAGGAGTTGAATATATTCAAATCGGTGGCAACTATATGCTCACTTTGCGTATTTTTGATAATTTATACATTCTGGAAATTAGAGGAGCCCTGGTCCAACTACGGGTGAAAATGGTGCATCAATGATTCTACACTGCTTCAAATATAGCGGTCTTAAACAGGGTAGCTTCTGTTTGAGCTGCTGATTCAGTGAATTTAGATCGATCGCCCAATATAGAATTCATCTTTCCTATGGAGACGGTAGGATTTAACGATTCCGGTCTGCATATCTGTTTTGGATAGCATGCCCTTGTTTTTCTGGAGGCTGTTTAATCGTTTAAGGCGTTCTGTTGTAACTGCTTTATTTAAATTTATCTTGATATTCTAATGTCGGTACCAAACATTCACCAAGGTGGACATGAACCATTCCAATTTACCTGATGATAATGAACCGAATCAAAAAGCCTATACCGATTTTCAAATCCTATCTCCAAACACATTTATTTAGATATTCGATACGGACAAAAAGCTTTGGTTCCAGTGATAGCACTTTGACTAAATTGAAACCCGTTAAATTGTGAACATACCGCTTAGGACTGGAAGTGAATTCACGAACTTGGTCGTTACGACCAATTGCAGACAAAACCTGATTTAGTTTCGTTCCAGCTTTTTAGATGAAACAGTGAGGTTAGTTCTCTCTTTCAGTCAGCGAAAGGTTAGGAAAATTGTTAAACCCGTGAAGTACAATGGGTCTTTGGATTGTCTTAATCGACTGAACAGTTTTACAGAGCACATTTTGATAAAAAGGCGGAGTGGTGAACAAGGTCGTTTTTAGTGATTCCTAACCTCGCTATACATCGCAATATAGCATTAATTTGGGAGCAATTTGTGTAGGGGTTTGGTCTCCCCTGGTTCACCTCACATTCCGTTTCGAAATAAAAACAATCCTGTGAACATATGGTGTGAAAACTTTTCTTAGTCAGTTTTATATATTGTGATTTATTGGCTCAACTACAAATAACTGGAAACGAGCTTTTTGGCACTCTGTGTTGTTTAACACAGTTAACCAACAGAGGACGAACTTGATGGTTACAGAACACCTTGGCTTCTTCAAGGGCCAAAGGATGAAAACATAACCCATTTTGTAATCGCATGATGAGGTTCGTACATGCGCATGCACGCACCCACAAACTGAGACCGACTGAACGATCGTAGAGCTACATTGTGAAACAGATTGAGGATAGGGAAAAAACCGTGACTGAATAGATTGTGAAGCAGAGAGAATAAGCCCCAGTTGATTGGAATGAGACATCGTGGTTAACGTCGAACGGATAATTTCAAGCGATCCCGGTGTTACCTCGATAAGTGACGCCACAGTGAGATTGTTGTCAAAATTGACAAAGTGAAAGAGATTCAGACAGAGAGATTACGTGTCTATGTGCTTTTTCACTAAAGATCATTTGAAATGCTAATAGCATCAAGTGACAGAAATTGGCAGTCACCGAGGTCGTGACTGATAACGGCTGCACTAGGGCCATCCATACTGACCGTAGCGAACGTATCGAACGATTTTCATCGACACCCACGAAAGGAAGCTTTACTGTCGTCCGGTTTAATAGCACGCTTAGCCTGGAGGGGCCTTATGTGGTTCAGCATTCCTAGTCCCGGGGCTTTGGTTGTCGGTTTCAATCATCGAATGGCAGGTCATCTTCACTATGGGATGTGCCCGGTCAGCCGTTCACCACACAAATGGGTGCCATGAAAAAGTCATCAAAAGGACTGTTAGAGGAAGGGGGAATTCAGTGTAGATGGAATACTGTTAAGCCAAAACCAATCGTAGTTTGAGAAAACACGAAACCCGCCAATTTAGGAAATGTTGTGAATAAATTTCATTTCCTGAAGCCTAATTCCAAAACTTGCCTTAACCTCAAAAGTGGGATTGAGTCAAGTGCTTTTCTACCTGTCCACTCACTCAGGTTCAGGGTAGTGCCTACGCAGATGAATATGTGCCGACGGGCAGAATAAAGTCAATCATGGGCTTTCCTGGACCTTTATTGCTCCTTTTTCCAAGTAATCAATCCGTCTACACGCATTTACTTTACTGTTCTTAGTCATTATGATATCTATTAAGGCGATGACGCACACATCACCCCCTAACCTCAACCGAGTTCTACCGGGTGCCGCACATCTTGCTTTTCATCCCTCTTTTTCAACCAGGTAGATTGATTGTTGAACGCTGCTGTCCCTTTCATCCACAATTTTCTTCGCAGTAGGAACAAAATGAACCAACCAGTTTTCATTGTGAACACCCCACTCCTTCGGACATCATTCTGTATTCTGAGATGGGAAAATGAGATAGTGTGCCAGAGGTATGTGTGATCAACTGGACAGAAACAATCGAAAACGAGAACCTGAAAACGCCAGTGTTTGTCAAAGCTATCTTTCTCCACTAACTTATGGTCAATATGATTTTAAAGTATTCTTATCCCTAGCTCAGTTTAGGTTGGACAGCCAATAGCCGCGCACTTTCGTGCGCTGGTTTTATTTGCCGCCTTTTGGCTACCCACTCGGATGAAGAAATAGGAGAAAGACAAGAAAGGTGAATATATAGTAAAAGAGAAGATGGAGAATTTCAGTGGATTAAGGTTGCAAGGAAATTGAGAAGGTGCACGAAAGCCACTGTTTACGACACTCAACCATATCACTCAGTCTCTAACCATCGATCACGATCATCCAAATGACCCAACCAGGGAGACCAACGCGACCTATGTGACTGAGTTTTCTGGTTAAGCAATGTTCTCTCTCTCAATTATTGACTGAATGTTGGACAGGTGTTGTCAGAATTATAGATTCTGAGGAACGAAGGTAGTGTATATGCAGTAGAACAACTGAATCTGCCGCATCATTACTGTTTGCGGCACCATCTGGTTATACTGAACATTGATGTTTATTACTTTGACACTACAATCTTGGCCGTTTAACTCCCCGCTCGATTCTGCTATAGTTTACCCTAAAATACGGTTTCTTTTATTACATATATTTGCGTGATAAACAGCAGAAGGCGGAGAAACCCATAGTCACGATGACCTACTATTCACTGATGGAAACTGGTAGCCTTAGCCCCGGGACTTGGAGTGGCCAACCACATAAGGCCCCCAATAGGTTAGGCGTGGTGCTAAACCGGACGGAAGCAAAGCTGTCCACCACGAAAAATGGGTAGTTGTGGTGGGGTTTGAACATCCAACCATAGGCTCCAGAGCATGCCGGCGACAGCGACTAAACCATTGCGCCACCATCGCCCTGGTCTTTTTGTCTTCCTGATTGTTTTTCGCTTCACTTAAGGGGGGGCACTACTGATACCGCATTTGATGAGGCGCCCTTTGTAACAATCCGGTGGGCCTAGCACACAGGATACGCAATTAGTCAGAGCTGGTGTACTTCATGAATAGACAGATCAAATGTAGGTAGCAAGAACGTCTGTTGTGTTGATATGTTTCGGCTAAACATACATTACTTGGGATATTTGTCACGAATGACGCCGGATTTTTTATTGCACGCTGTTGTGTGATCATCAGAAGAGGTGGAACCCGAGAGGACCTATCGCTCGCTCTTGATAACCAGAAACCTATTCCCTGGGACTTGGGGTGGCCAACCACATAAAGCCCCGCTAGGCAAACTTTCTTAACGGGAACCTATGGAATGATAAATACGAGTAGTTCATAAAAATAAGACACCCCTAAGGTGAACTGAGCCAAACAGATCATCGTGATTGGGGTTTAAAGAACAAACAGAATTTATGACTCGAGACAATAGACGATATGGCTTAATGACATTTTGATGCCTGGATTTCAGTCCACCGAAATAACAACATTCGACATTCTCTACACAAAAGCCATATTTCGTTTGCGGAGAATTTACCTTAAAGGATGTGTAAACCATTGGGATGGTCCGAAATGCAAGGTTTTCTTATGAAGGTACAGTGTAAGAATTAAGTGCATCTGTAAGAAAAATTTCGAAAATTTCGAAATTCTGCATTAGTTCGATAGTACAACTTTAGTCTTTACACAAACCAGAGTCACCCGTCATATTTCCAAACGATGACCATGGCGAAAAAATGCACCACTTTCGGATTTGGTTCTCATCGGCCATGCGACGCCATATTCTGCTTATAATTATGTGCACACTTCCTTGCTTTCCCAGTGATTTTTTAGCCGGGTGTCAAGTTACATAAATTTAAACTCAAAACTTACTCTAGTGAGTCGAACGAATCATTATAGTCAAGAGAAACTGGTCGCAATCGTGCGATAAGCACAAAGTAAATTGAATCTAACCCGAACGCATTAACCGCCATCATTTTCAAAAAGAAAACAGAGTACCACTGCGACTTTAATTTGTATCCATTCAGACAAGATCGTAGTAATAAAATTCTATCTAACCCGGAGGCCAGCCCAATTGTCTACCTCCAAGAACGTGTAGATGAAGATGGAAGACAGACTGACATCCATCGCGCCCATTATTCACTACCACACGGTAGCCATTGCTCAAACCTTGCTGAAGAGCCACTTTGCTACACACCATCATCATATGGCCCAGTAGCTACAAAAAATAATGATGTGAAAGAAATAGTATAAATGTACCTGCTCGTCTCCAGACTGTGCAGAGTCCAGCATCGAAATCCGCCGCTTGGGTATAACAAGGAAGTGAACCGGAGCTTGGGGTGATATATCTTTGAACGCCAAACAGGAATCATCTTCATAAATAATATTTGCTGGTATTTCGCGATTGATTATTTTGGTAAATATAGTGGGTTCCGCGGTGTCTCCAGCTTTTTGTGCCTTCTCGACCTCCGAAGACATAGTTTTCGTGATGAAAAGATGTCTTGACCGAGGGATTAGGAAGCGACGAGAGTGATTGATCCAGCTAACCAACTAAAATGAGTAAACTGAAAGTGAATAGGACTTATTTGATGGGTAGTTAAAAAAGTAATGGTTAACCAGTGAGGCTCTAAATGAAGTATATCAAAGCAGGACGACCACAGAGCATAGCTAGTTCGGTTACTAAACATCACAATCTGCTAAAATCAACACAGTTTACGGAGTCTACGAGGTCATCGCCCCCTATCTTGAAAAGAGTAGAAGCGGTTATCATCATCATCGTACAGCGGGATACAGTGAGGCGAACTTCACTGATCGCTGCCAAGCTCACAATGTACACAAGTCAAGTGATAAAGCACAGGATGGAGAGGGATTGGGCCTACTTGGAGGGAAGCAAAGAAAAAGAACCTTTATGTTCAACACACAGAGTGCACAATGTAAGTGTTCATACATACCTTTTCAAGCATTCTGACTTGTTAAGAAATGACAACAAGAACGCCACTGCCGTCGGTTAGTCGCCATATTCTCTAATGTCTCCAGCCAGCCAGTTGCAGAGTCTTTCGGACCCCAACCTGGAAGACGGGAGACACCGATTCTACCTAATCGCTCTGTGCATTTCTTCATGCCTCGCTTCCACGTTATCTGTTGACCTCCACGCGGTTCCTTCAAACCTGGAGCCGCAACTGCGAATAAGGTGCGGTAGACGATGGCTGGACATCCGTAATACACGTCCTAACCAGCGAAGCCGCCTAATCTGAATTCGATGGGACAACGAATTCTCCATCGAATCATCACGAAATAAGCGACGCCTCACCCCAGAGTTGCTTACAAGCTCGCTCCATCCAACCCGCGCCAAACTACGTAAACATCTGCAGTCGAATACTTCAAAGCAACGAATATCTTCCACGCGCAAATTTAGGGTCTCGCAACCATAAAGCAGAACTGACCACACACTGGCGCAGTATACGCGACCTTTCAGTTTCAACGAAACATGGCGTCTACACCTAAGGTGTTTCAATCCTGCGTAAGCTGCTCGAGTCTTGGAAATGCGGGGGGTTACTTCATTGACTATGCTACCGTCATTTGAAACGCAGCTACCTAAGTAGGTGAAACATTTCACTACAGCTAATTATTGACCATCAAGCATCAGCGCTGGGATAGACGACACCCAGTCTTGAAACATCACTTTGCACTTTGAAGGTGCAAA